AACATGCTGTTATTTCATTATCTTTGGGCTCATTTCTTGATTTAAGAAATGACAAATTGCATATTTCCAGGACCTGAAGCTTCTCCTTGGTTTTGTATCTCCCCGTTTCATATAAAGCAATAATACTCATCATTGACCACAAAGAAGCTATCTATGAAGTAATGAAATAATGTTCAATGTTTGATCTTTTCAGACTGGAGCTAGTTTGCTCTCTCTTTGTTCAAGAATTTTTATGTAAAGGCACACGAGATAGCCAAATGCAGATATTCTCAGACACTGTACAGGCATCTTGCTAAATATTTGTGTGGTAGATTTTTGAATAGATCATCTTTTCTCTTCTGTAATGAAAGGAGTCAGGTTACCTAGAAAAACATCTATTAATACACATCTTTGCATAGAGGAGGAAGGCACCTTCCTGCGGGGTTTGTAAAGGTTGCCGTGGCTGTCTCTCTTAACTGTCTTCCATTCAGCTTTTTCAGAAGCAGATACTGCTAATGCAGGAAAAAACAACCTTGGCTGCATTTTCCTCTTTTGTTTTGTTTTAGAAAAGATGAGGCTTTGTCTGTCCCTTTTATTTGTTTTGCTACTCTGCCATGACTACTCTGGCACTGGAGCAGCCTCTGCAGAGTCAGGGGTGAGGTCATGCTTGATGGAAGAAATCTAAGATCAATTTGTTGTCTCATACTTCGACATTAAATGCAGCTTGAAATATAATTGTTAGTCTGTGCTCTGTACGGTTTGAAGAAGTATTGAAACACCTCAAGTCTTGAGTGTGGTTATTGGTGAGAAAACACAACTTGTACCCTAAACCAAAGCTAACCAGAATTTCCAAACTGGGTGGAAAGCACGAGAAAGTGAGAGCTATTGAAGGATGAACAGAGAATATAAAAAGGAAAGACAGAAAAAGAATGGTAAGATCTTATGATGGTCCAGCCATTGAGTGTCTTGAAAAGCACCTTGGACAAAATTTGGAAATTCACAAGTAAAATTGCAAACAAAACTTACTATGTGTGAATTATTTTCCTTTATTCTTGACCTCACTGCCAGGTTCCCTCTTTTCTCGTATAACTTCATTAGTTCTGTTTGGAGGCAAGACACTTAATATCAGTCAGGCCAAGTGACTTATAATATCACATTCTGGGGCTACTTGCTCACTAAAAGAAGCAGCTGAGGAGAACACAGTGGCTGGGTAAGTGCCCCTGAAATAGATGGCTCTGGGTTTTCCAGATCGTCTTTTGAGTGCAGCCCTCTAAGTGTTACCTGTGATATGCTTGGGTTCAATCCCATCCAGCAGAAAAAGAAATCATCACCAAAGCCCACTATTGTTTTGCCATAAACTGGGAGTTAACAGGAAATCAGGTGCTGTGGTGCTGACTCTAGGTCAAATACATTGTATGACAGCCTACTGTGACACATAGTGCCTCAGATGAGAGAAAAAAAGGATCCATCACATTAAGTATAGAACTGGGTAGAACTTCCCCGATGATGTAGCCCTCTGTGGAGTTATCAGAGATACCTAACCAATGTATCTTCTTCATCACTCCATGTGGAGTGGCAGGGATATGCGTGTCCTGTCTGACCCAAACACAAGCCACAATGTTTGATTTTGTTTGGTCCTGGGAGAGAGGGTTTTATTATCAGATGGAAGAAGGTGCTCATTCCTGATCCATTAGTTTTCTACGTGTGTGGCCTTAGATAATGTACTCAGGTTCCGGGACCCTGAGTTTTCTCAGTAGCATAAGGATCAGAGTCAGATTTACACTGAAGGCTTTGCAGAAATTTAAGGTATGGTGATGACTATAGCAGCTATACTTTTATAAATATCTGTTTGTGTCAAACTCAGCAAAGAGCTCCCATGCATCATTGTATTTGATCTTCAGTCTTGAGTAATAAGCCACCTTGTCCTTGTTTTGAGAATGAGGAACCTCAAAAACGTGACACCATTGAGTGAGAAAAATGCATTCAAACCTCAGGTTTTGTTGAATCTACTACCTTTGTTCTCCTAAGATAGCGCATAATGATAATCTCTCTACATCTACTTCAGCCGTGAAGATTGGTCACAGCCGTTGGCACTCTGTGGTGCTGTGCCAGTTTGTTTCACAGCAAAAATGTGGTTATGGAGAAACTGCTTATGCAAGAAACTGCACCAGTGCTGTGTGCTGGGCTCTGGAATCTGGCTGACAACCTTGCTTTAGTTTTACACCCTTCAAAGATTTAGGGATGACTCTCGAGCTCTCTGAGGACTTTCCTTTTCCAAATAAATACCTGAAATTCCCTTAAGCATTTATTTGAAGGTCCAATTTGCAGCATGATTTAAATGCTAGCTAATTTGAACAATTTCCTTTCCTATCCACAATAAAGAAAATATTTTTATTTTGAAAAGTAAATTCAATGCAGTCTTTATGGAATAAAAATAAATAAATTCTAATTTCAGAAAAAAAGTGCTTCTGATTTATTATATTTTTCTCTGATTTCCCAATCAAGACTGGTAAGTTTTAGTCAAATAGCCTTTTCTATCTCTATGTGGAATTAATCATGATAATCAGAATTGTACATGTGAGTTGTACTATAGCAAATAAAGCATTTGAGTGAGGTAATGTGCCCAGCTATCTTGGTCCTAACATTTAGCTGCTCACTGGATCTCATGATGACAGGTGTCAAGCTGTACACTGATTTCTGACAAAATCACAGTATTTGTCCTAGGTTTCAGAAATCTAAATTAAAATGAAGAAACTAAATGAACAAGAACAGCCTCAAAAGTAACATAGGAATTTTGAAATATTTAAATCGAAACATGCCATTTCCATCCTGTGACTATCTGTAGGATATGATTATCCTTGGAGAAAATAAGAAAAAAGATTATGTGTTATTTGTGAGAAAATTTAATTTCCAAATTAGGAAACCAATGATGCAATCAATATTTTATTCTGAACAAGTGATGTTTAATCAAGTGTTGATATCCAAATACAAAGGGTGCCCCAGGGGCTCAAGATAATACAGCAAAATTATTATTTAAACTTGTTCTTTAGAGGCCTACATACTTTCCCTTAAAAGTATGAAGAAGATAGTAGCTGCCAATATTGATGATGACAATCTTATTTATAAATTCAAGTGCTAATCTATTCTGAAAACATCCTCAGGCATCCTCAGACGTTTTACCTGTACTTTGGGAATCTCTTAGCCTAGTGAAATAAATAAGTTAACAGTGACAATCTGTGCACATGCTTGTAACAGTATTTTTGCAGACTTTTTTGAAAAATGATAAAGATACATTGAACAAAGAACTTCAGCTATCATTTTTCCACTGCCTACCATATGACTTTCCACATACATTATTATAGGTCACCCATTTCATGCAGGAGAATTTAAACTAATGTCCAGATTTCCTGACTTGTGGCTTACTGTCACCTCTTTTAAGAGCATTGTCAAAGCATTTCAATATGTGGAAAAGAATGAAAGAGACCAAATTTACCAACTCCATAATTTGCCTAATCCCTTGGGAAACCACATTATTGCTGCAACCAGTTCTTTCCAGAATGGCACACATGAATAAACATGGACATGCAGAATCCCTTTCATGAACATTCACTCCCATCAGCTCAGGTATGAAGGAAGTGCTTGTACACAGCAGGAACACACATCTAATTTGGTTTCATATTTGATCATACACACATACATACAATCACAAAAATATATACACACTCAATATGCGGTTTTTATTAGTAAACACAGAAAAAAATATTCCAATCTCTGACCTAGAAAATTCACATATATCCCTTAAAGTTTGATATGGTACTATTTCTTCTTTGAGTACATCCAAGAGATAGATAATGTCTTTGAAGTATTACTCAAGAAAGCTCACATGTCTCTCCTAGAGGATTCTTTGTAGGTACTCCACTGTTTTGTGCAATTCCTTTTCTATTGCACCATACATAATGTAACTATTTCCTGGTAAGAACTATTCTTTCTTCCTTTTGTTTCTCCATAGCATTCCAGAAGACTTGCCATAATAAATATTTCTTGAACCAAAATAAACTACTGATGCTGTATTTATAAGTAGTAGAGGACAATAAAGCTATGGGAAGATGGTAACACAAATTACTCGGCTACAAGTGTGTTTTTCTCATCACTTTATGGCACCTCCTACTTTGCAGTAAGATTGTTGTAACTCCATTTATTCAGTTAATGAATATTTTAACTTTCAGTGGGATAGACAACGTACCAAGCACACTGCGAGTAACAAGTCTTTCAAACTCTCTTTCTTCAAAGAAGTTATCAGCCAGATTAGGTAGGATATGAGAAATATAGCAGTCTTTAAATATTGTTAGAACCATTTAAAATGAAAAAGGACTCAAAAAAAGCTCTATGAGAATGAGAAGAGATAGTAATCTGGGAGAGCTGCATCCAAGCCTCACAGCTCTGTTTGTCTGCTTCTAACATCCATCTGTAAAACCAGATCTTAAATCCAGTATCAGAAGACAAGAGGCTGCCTACATCCCAAGTCCTCTGCAACCCTTCACCTGCAAGTGGCTAACGCTATTTACCATCCCTGGATTCTGTCCTGTGGAAAAGTTCACCTTCCTGGTGTCATGCTACACTGAAGCCAGGTTCAATTTCTTTTTTTTTTTAATCCTGGACTTTTATGAAACAGTCCAAGAAAAAAGAAGATAGCAAAAATTCAAACCATTAGAGATGCTGGAAAACATAGGTAGCTTGAATTATCTTTTATAAATATTTTGGACGAATTTGAGATTGAAAGACTAGGACAGAAAGGGAAAAAAAAAACAAAGAAAGGAGAGTGATGTTTTTGACAAAAAGAAATAGGAGAGATGGATCGAGCCATCTGTATAAAGTCACAGAAGAAAACAAGGACAAGGAAAAATGTGAGAAAATTATCCCACGTCTTTTCTCAATTAGTCTTCAGGTTCTGTAGGGACAGCAGGAACTGACTTTTTTAAATGTCAACAGAAGCTGAATATTCTTTCTTCTTTCTTCTGCAGGGTGACACCTCGTTGGGAACAGAATGGCTGTAATGTAGATAAAAACAAAGCGAGGCTATTTGATTGTGGGGAACACTGAGAAGACAAAAATCTGTCCATCGACTCTTCAGGTCCCAACACAGTCATCCCTTCTCTGCAGCACGATGCCAAACTGACTTTAGTGCTTGAGTTTATGGTACTGGGAAGAAATGTCTGTTAGAGTTTAAGGAAGACTACAATCTGTGGGACAGAGGAGAAGGAACCCAGTGTCCTTCCAGCACCCTAGAAGTTACTCGTCTGATGACACCATCTCCAGGGAGCAGAGATCATTCAGGGAAAGTGATAGGGCTCAGGAGGGTGTCTGTGAGAGCATTTGTTGAGGGGAAGGAGAAAGAAATACATTAGACAGTGAAAGGTCGTAGAGCTCAGCTTCATCAGTCTTCTCATTGTCACCCCTCTTTCTGTCACGGTCTTACTTCTGCTCATTCTCTTCAATGAGTACAATTATGTCTTCAAAAATATTCAAGTTACTCAACCTAAGATGGTGACTGCTCACGCTTTCATATTACTTTGATCTTTCTGTCTCCCCTTGGTGTGTATTCTTACACACACAGAGATGCGCATATGTGTGCACACATATACATTGGTCTTACTCATTGAAGACATAGATTAATGAGATGTTTGTACATTGTTTTGGCAATTTATTTGCCTAACACAGTGTCGCAAGCAGTGCTATTATTGCCCCTATGTCACAGAGAGGGAATTTCTGTCATGGAAGACAGCTAAGTTAATCAATAATAGCACAAATCCTAATAAGTGGAAGAGCTTGTTTTCAGCCCTTGATCCCATATTCCATTTGTTCTAACACATCAGTCTGCCTTTGACATCATGTTTCCTGATTATCAAGGTCCTAGTTCAAATCTTTATTTCCCTATGATGTCTTTCTAAAAGCATCAATCTGCATGATTATTCGCTTTGAAGTATAGTACAATAATAGTGATAACTGTAGAAGTGAAATATTTGGCAGGTCTTTTGCAGTGGATAGTGTGATAAACATAACCATAGAAGCTATAAACTTTTATTTTAAAAATGTTTACTGAACATTAGCCATGGAAAATGTGCTATTGTAATGTACCCATTTTATCTTTTGACTAATCCAATTATATATTTTATTCAATGAACTAATTTAGAAAGCAGAGCATATATTTTCTCTTTACTCCTGTAGTATCCAGTAAATCTTTTTCCCTGCAGTGGCTAGACACATAGTATGTGTGCGATTAAATCCAACTACATGAGTCATAACAAGTTAAATATAAGTCATTAGCTATGTTGGTGCCTTCTGTTGTTGTTTTTATGGTTACTGAGTCTCAATTTCAAAATGTTTGTATTTCTCAACGGCTTAGACAATTCCAAACCTTTGAAACTCCCAGGATTCTGATCGATAAGCATGTGTGCCAGCATTTAAGGGAGGCTGAAGCAGCCTAATGTGAAGAATAATTTCTAGCTCAATTTTTTCTACTGCTAATGTTGCATGTTGAGCCAAAATATGAACAGCATTCCACCAGCCATATTGTCATATGTTATAAAACTGAGAACTGCATCAACAAGGTAATCTAATAGGTGTTTCTGAGAGAGGAAAAATGTGCATAATCATTTTCTAAAGGGGAAGGAGAAATGGCATCCAATCAGGCAGCAGTCAATACTGGGAAAAGAAAGTCCAACTCAAATGAATCTGGGCTCCTTACTGCGACAGCTGTCACCCTCTTAGCTGCCTTCCTGTGCATCGGCTGCATATGCTGTAATCTGGAAGACATGAATTCTAGTTACCACCCTGATGTGTCTATGCTGCATGAAAATGAAGTTACAAATTGAAGGTAATTATAAAATCCTCCTGGAAGAAGTTGCTGTTAACATGAGTTGACAGATTTAATTTTTTGTTACATTTAAATGATTCAAGTTGAAGAAAGTTTCGTGTTCTTACATGAGAACTTATAGATAGCAAGCTATTTTCAATGTTGGAAGGGAAATAAGAATCCTAACCCTATTTTGGCATTGCTTAAACCTTAAGTGTATTCTGAGAAAGGTTAAAAGCAAACCCTGAATCATTTTCCCCAGAACTTTATGCAAATCATTACAGAGGTGGTAGAGAGGGAAAATTTCATTATCAGTGGTGGTTCTGAATGCTTGCATGGACCATGAGATGGAACTAAATCAAAAGAAAATAGTACAACAGATGCAAGAGCCATTCCTGTAAAGTGGGGCCTAAACCAGATGGGCTTGATAGACAGTAAGAGAAATTAATTTTTCCATTTGGAAATTTTCCTTCTTCATATAGTGCTCTAACATTTTCATATAGTGCTTACCAATATCTGCAGCCTGAAACATATTGAAGAACAAGTTATGAGAAAGCTTAAGAATATTTATACTGCTGGGTATGGTAGTGCAGGCCTGTAATTCCAGCACTTGGGAAGCTGAGGCAGGAGGATGGCTGAGTATTCAAGACCAGTCTGTACTACATAAAGAGTTCAAGGCCAATTGGAACCAAACAGTGTCACTCTGTCTCAAAAAACAAAAAAGCAGGAAAAGAATATGTATGTTATTAAGAGCTGGTTTCAAATTTATATTACATACTAGCAGAGGCATCTTAGCAATGGTGAACTTAAATAAGTGAAAATTCATAGGGAAAAGCAGTATTTTAAAAAGTGACTGCCTATCATAGCACTTTCAGAACCAGACTAGAGCTTTCCATGCTCTACATAGAGACTGGAAATTCCAATTAAATATGAAAAGAAGAGATATTTATAGATTTTGTTCTCCAAAGTAAAAAAAAAAAAAAAAAAAAAAAAAAAAAAAAAAAACTGAAAAATTGAATGGTACAAATAGACTCATGATGAGAGTTGGCTGATGTCAGAGAAGATGTCATCAAAGCACACAATCAGAAAACAGATCCTAAGAAGGTTCACTAAGCACTCACAGTTGGAATTAAATATCACAAAAACAAATGTATTATATGGAACCCAGCTTCAACACATTCAAATCACAGAAGAAAGAAACAGAAAAGTGAAATAAATTTGATAAGTATGAGGGATGCCATCTGATGTCATCTTGCAAAAGACAGTACTCCTAACAAGAATAAGCCAAAGAAAAAGGAATCATCAATGTGACAGAAGATCTAATACACTGAATGATAGAAGATGTCAATTGAAGACGGAAAGGAGTCAATGTATGCCAAGTAAAATTAAGTCAAGATTTGCAAACATAACCTGATACGGTTCCTATCTAACCTTGTGTGCTCATAGGTGGGACTTTTCAGAGGACGCTGAATCTAGGGGGTGTGATGCTGGGATTTAGAGTGTGTGTTAAATGGATTGGCTTAACCTAGTTCTAGGTGGAAAGTGGATGTGTGTGGAACCACTCCAAAGGCTTGTAGCCTAGATGGGATAAAAGGAAAAAGGAGACTTGCAACTGCTCCTGGCTGGTCGCTGCTCCCTACCCACCCTGACATGGACCACTTCTCCTTTGCAATGCCCTTCTGACAGGTTGCCCTGCCAGAGAGTCAGTAAACTGTTAACTGAGCCCAAATAAATCATTGCTCCTTTAACCTTTGGTCTTGTGTATTTTTTTTTTTCTCTGCATGAAGAATATAACTAAAGCAATAGCTTAGTGAAGTAATGGAATCTAGAATGTGAAGATAGAATCTTGCATGTATCTTCAAACAACAAAATATATATATACCTAGATGCAAGAACATCTGTGATCTGTGGTGGCTAATGTAAACTAGTTCTAATTATTATTTTTCTCTTTTTAAAAAAAATTTTATTTAAAAGGAAAAAGAGAAAAAATAAAACAAAACAAAGGGTGTAAGGGTACAAGTAATACAGAACTACAAAAAAAATAAAATAAAATAAAAAAAAACAGTGAGAAATCACCAGTTAATAGATTACACATTATCATCCTAGTAATTATTATTATTTTTCTATTCCTCCCTTCCTTCCTTCCTTTTTTTTTTTTTTTTTATACCAGGGATCAAACTTACAACCTTGCATTCACCAGGCAGGTGCTTATGCTGCTGAGCTAAATCCCCAGCCACTATTTTTTTTTAAATGTTGAAAACATAATACAAGTTCTTCTAATAATACTTTGTTAACTTACTCTTTAAGGATATTTAAATTCATGCATTTTAAAATTTATAGTTGAGAAATTAGGCTTTATCCCTCCACTTTAATTAATAAAATGATTTTTGTTCAAACTCTTGATATGTGGCTTTTCTAGCAATGTCTTATCATCATCAGGGTTAGGATGAATTTATCCATTACATTAAACTGCCGGAAACATTTAGCTTTCAATTTATTTTTTTGTACTTTCAAAAAATCTATCGTTAAATGTAAAAGTCTTACCAAACCCAGAACCTTCCAGTGAGTTACAGTGAAAGCAAAAGAAATTTTATGTACTCCAAGTTTTCATTTTAATAATATTGAATCGGTTTTAATATCTTGAATAATTTTTGAACAATGTAATGTAACAACTTAATGCTTTGCAAAATCATTTTTGCATCACTCAGTTTCAATAAAATCCAACACTTTTAAGTATGTAGTTGTGTGTTCAAGGAAAAGAAAACAGATTTCAGTGAAAATCCTTTGAATTCTAGTTTATTGGATGAGTTTCATGGTTCTCTAAGATTAGCACTGATCAAGGTAGTATCAGGGAATGTCTTTCTACGGTAGCATTCTGTGTTTCTTGTGAGCCAGATGCCTCAAAGACTTGGTAAAAGGCAACTCCTATGCTGAGATGAGCTTCAGATTTCTGTTTTGTACAATGAAATACAAGATCCTAAAGGTACAGTGTGTGAGGATGGGAAATGTGTGAAGATCTATGACTTAATTATGAAAAACGTGGGATAGTATGAACCATGAGCAGTATATGAAGAAAATTTATTGTAAATGTAATTTTATAAAAAGTTATATTTAAGTTATAAAAAAGTACTTATACTATAATTAATAAAATACAGAATTTGGACTTGGGATGAGAAATTGGATGCTTAAGAGGACTAATTTACTCATAAATATAGCATGCTAATATTTAAAAGTCTATTTTTAGTCCCATGTCAGTGTCTCAGGCACCTGTGAACCTTACCTCTTCTATCTTCCCATTTATAACAATGAATAAGAACTTTGATGGGTCCCTGTCATTGTTCTTAAGATCAGACACATCATTCACTGAAGGTGTCTTGTGGGTTTTTGTTGTTGTTGTTTATTGGTGCATGTCTGCAGTGTGTAATGTTTATATTTCTTGATTGGTTCTGGTACATGTAATGCAACACATTCTAATTCTTTTGTTGTTTTTGTTCTCATTTTCTCTCCTTTTCCTCCCTACACCCTCCCTCCAACTCCATTACCATTTGGGAAAAATCTGCCTTCCTATTATCTCTTTTCTTTAGCTTTATATTTATAATTTGGAATTCTTACATAAGAAAATCTAAGTGATAGTTAAACTTGTGGGCTTGCTTTTATTTTCCTTAACATTGTAGAATCAAAATGTGTCCATTTGCCTACTAATGACTCAAGTTTGTCTTTCTTTTTTGGCAGAGAAGTACCCTACTGTGTGCAAATGCCACGTTGTCTTTGTCGGTTTATCTGTTGAGACACATGTAGGTCACTTTCACTATTTAGAGACTATGAGTTGTGCTGCTATAAACATGGGAATGAAAATATTACTGTAACTTGAACTTTATTGAGACTATATCTAGAAAAAATTGCTGAGTGAAATGAAATTTCTGGTTTTAGTTCTTTGAAGAGCCTCATTCTGATTTCCAAAATGGTTGTACTAGTTTGTATTCCCACTAACACTGTACAAGGGGTTCTTTTTTTCCACAGCCTTGCCAGAATTTGTTATTATTTGATTTCTTGATGATGGCCATTCATTGAGATAAAATGGAATATCAGTGTTGTTTTAATATGCATTTCTCTTAAGTTCTCTGATGGTATTTCTTCATGTATTATTGACCATTGAACTACTTCTTCCCACTTTTTGATTGGGTCGTATAAGGAGAAGTTATCTTTTTTTTTTTTTTTTTTTTTTTTTGTATAGTCTTGATGCTAGTCTTCTGGCTGGGGAATAGTTCACACAAAATGCTTCCCATTATATATTCTTTTCATGCTACTGGTTGGTTCTATTGATATACAAAAGCTTTATTTGTAGAAAATCCCATTTGTTTATTGGAATTATTTCCTATGCAACTGGGGTTCTGTTCAGAAAGTCCTGGCCTACATCTAGGACTTCAAGAGCTCTATCTATTTTACCTTACAGTAAGTTTAGTGCTTCTGTTTTAACATTTTGGTTTTTGACCCATTTTTAATTTAGCTTAGTACATGATTTATAACTAATTCAATGTTTTGGGTTCAGGTAGCCAGTTTTCTCAACACTATTTATTAAAAAGGGTATTTTTCCTTCAATATGTTAATGATCTCTTTATCAAAATCAAATAATTGTGTAGTTTATGTATCTTCTATTCTGTTCCTTGATCATATGTTTTTTGTGCCAGCACCATGCTGCTTTTACCACTGTAGCTTTGTAATACAATTTCAAGTCCAAGATTATGATGCCTTGTTTTTCTCTTATTATGCATGATTATCTTTTTCTATTCCAAGTCTATTCTGGCTCCACTTGAATTTTCAAATTGCTTTATTCAGTTCTGTGAATACCATATATATTAGGCCCCTATGAGTACTGTTATTGGTACACTTACTAAAAAATCAATGAAAGTGTTATATTATTGAAAGTGATAATTCAAGAAATCTAAACGTAACAGGAAGGTCTGTTGTAAATTTTATTTAAAATACCTTCCTCATTTGCAAAGTGCTTTTTTTTTTTTTTTCCCAAAATGAGTATATATTACCTGGATTATATATTTTTTGGTAAACATCAAATAAAAGAAATGATAACAGGCCCAAAACTGATTTTAAAAACAATCCCAAGTTTGTCAGAAAAACTGTGACAAAACATTCCTTCCAAAATCTGTGGTACTCATCCCCCAGTTTATGTTTTTCTAGTAACTTAAATATTCTGAGTTCTAGATTACTGGATATCAAGAAATTAGATAACATTCAAAGAAAGAAACCACTTTCTCTTTGTCAATAAATATTTTGAAGGCCATATAAATTTTAGAAAAGACTATTTAAATCTGCATGTATCGACATTTCACGTGGTAGTCATTAATGTTACCAGATTGTTTTCCTTAGTGGCTGACTTATTGAAATGGAATATTTCAATGAGCATCAATAGTAGCTGCTATTGCATTGTCTTTTTTAATATTTAATCAAGTGGACATTAATCTTACACATGGAATTAGAACATACACAAATTCCAAAGTTAAGGGTTATTCAGCATTCGAGGACAAGCATAAAATTATCAGAATCAGCTCATGTAATTTTGTGTTTGCTTTCATAATAAACAGTGTGACAAAGTGAATTTAAGGAAAGTAATCTTAAGATAAAGCTTTGTAAGTTTAACAGAGGTTTCAATATTCACAGGTTATACATGAATAGTTCTCCAATACATTAGTCAAATTCTAGGCCTCAAATGAACTTGCATACTGTTAACTAAGCTTTCTGTCTTGATCAAAATTTCACTAGAAAATTTACTTTACTGTTGTAAACTGAAGAAACATTTGATAAGGCATTGTTTTATTGATGATGACATTTACAATGACAGTAGTAATGACTGTGGCTGTCAGTAAAACCATGGTCCTTTCCAGTGAGAAAAAGAGCTTTAAAGAATAAGGGGTAGGGAGCAACCTTGGAGAAATCTTACAAGTAACCTTAAAGCACTGCAAAACTGCATTTTGATAAATTCAGTGGGTAGAATAATAATGCTGTATTTCCAAACACACATAGGAGTCAAAATGAATAGATTGAAAGGCAGAGATTCTCCCCCCAGCTGTGCAGGGATCATAAGACCATTATTGAGATGCTTATCTTCCGCAAAATGGTTTGTGTTGAAATTATTTTTTAAAGGCATCATTTCTCTTAGAAAAACTTCATTACTAATTTGCCAATTGAATATCCCATAAGATATTGGAAGGCATTAGTGAACATAGAGTGAGTATTTTGATTTAAAAAACATGTGCATCCCCTGTTGTTCAATAATAACAGGGATGAATAACATCTACTTCAGGTTTTCAAATGTAATTTACGATGATAAGACTTTTAGACAGGGGATGGATGAGCTGATGGATGATATACACATAGTTGAAACTCGGGTAATGATTGTGACATATTTTGCATTAGGCTATGATAATTTGAAAACAATCAAAGTAAGTTATTTTTTCAGAAAAGTTCCAAGAAGGAGAGTGAATTAATAAACTCCATTACAACAGGTGCTCTGTGCGCTGTACTGCATTTCATATATATATATATATATATATATATAGTTCTAGCTTTGGAGGTTCACCTGCCAAGCAGAACCAGAAAAAGTTTCAATGGAAAAGAGGAAGGCTGAACATTTTAGGACGTGGTGTTAAATAATCTGTAGACTTAATCTATAAAGAATCATGCTTACAGATGAAGGTAGCTATGTCAACTCCTGCTTTGCCCCTTGATTCAT